GACAAACATGGGATGGAGGGGACCTATTGTGCCCTGGTATCCTAACAGGGAGACAACCATGGGGTAGAGGGGACCTATTCTACCCTGGTATCCCCACAGGGAGACAAACATAGGGTAGAGGCCAGGGGACCTATTCTGCCCTGGTATCCTAATAGGAAGACCAACATGGGGTAGAGGGGACCTATTCTGCCCTGGTATCCCCACAGGGAGACAAACATGGGGTAGAGGGGACCTATTCTACCCTGGTATCCCCACAGGGAGACAAACATAGGGTAGAGGCCAAGGGACCTATTCTGCCCTTGTATCCTAATAGGGAGACAGACATGGGATAGAGGGGACCTATTCTGCCCTGGTATCTTAACAGGGAGACCAACATGGGGTAGAGGGGACCTATTCTGCCCTGGTATCCCCACAGGGTGACAAACATAGGGTAGAGGGGACCTATTTTGCCCTGGTATCTTAACAGGGAGACCAACATGGGGTAGAGGGGACCTATTCTACCCTGGTATCCTCACAGGGAGACAAACATGGGGTAGAGGGGACCTATACTGCCCGGGTATCCTAACAGAGAAACAAACATAGGCTAGAGGGGACTTTTTCTACCCTGGTATCCTAACAGAGAAACAAACATGTGGCAGAGGGGACCTATTCTGCCCTGGTACCCCCACAGGGAGACAAACATGAGGTAGAGGGGACCTATTCTGCCCTGGTATCCCCACTGGGTGACAACCATGGGGTAGAGGGGACCTATTCTACCCTGGTATCCCCACTGGGTGACAAACTTGGGGTAGAGGGGACCTATTCTACCCTGGTATCCTAACAGAGCAACAAATATGGGGTAGAGGGGACCTATTCTGCCCTGGTAGACCCACTGGGAGACAAACATAGGGTAGAGGGGACCTATTCTACCCTGGTATCCCCACTGGGAGACAAACATGGGGTAGAGGGGACCTATTCTGCCCTGGTATCCCCACTGGGAGACAACCATGTGGTAGAGGGGACCTATTCTACCCTGGTATCTTAACAGGGAGACCAACATGGGGTAGAGGGGACCTATTCTACCTTAGTATCCTCACAGGGAGACAAACATGGGTAGAGGGGACCTATACTGCCCTGGTAACCTAACAGAGAAACAAACGTGGGGTAGAGGAACCTATTCTGCCCTGGTATCCCCACAGGGAGACAAACATTGGGTAGAGGGGACCTATTCTGCCCTGGTATCCTCACAGGGAGACAAACATGCGGTAGAGGGGACCTATTCTGCCCTGGTATCCTCACAAGGAGACAAACATGGGGTAGAGGGGACCTATTCTGCCCTGCTATCCCCACAGGGAGACAAACATTGGGTAGAGGGGACCTAGTCTGCCCTGGTATCCTAACAGGGAGACACACATGGGGTAGAGGGGACCTATTCTACCCTGGTATTCCCACAGGGTGACAAACATTGTGTAGAGGGGACCTATTCTGCCCTGGTATCCCCACAGGGAGACAAACATTGGGTAGAGGGGACCTAGTCTGCCCTGGTATCCTAACAGGGAGACACACATGGGGTAGAGGGGACCTATTCTGCCCTGGTATTCCCACAGGGTGACAAACATTGGGTAGAGGGGCCCTATTCTACCCTGGTATCCCCACAGGGAGACAAACATAGCGTAGAGGCCAGGGGACCTAGTCTGCCCTGGTATCCTAACAGGGAGACACACATGGGGTAGAGGGGACCTGTTCTACCCTGGTATCCCCACAGGGAAACAAACATAGGGTAGAGGCCAGGGGACCTATTCTGCCCTGGTATCCTAATAGGGAGACCAACATGGTGTAGAGGGGACCTATTCTACCCTGGTATCCCCACTGGGTGACAAACTTGGGGTAGAGGGGACCTATTCTACCCTGGTATCCTAACAGAGCAACAAATATGGGGTAGAGGGGACCTATTCTGCCCTGGTAGACCCACTGGGAGACAAACATAGGGTAGAGGGGACCTATTCTACCCTGGTATCCCCACTGGGAGACAAACATGGGGTAGAGGGGACCTATTCTGCCCTGGTATCCCCACTGGGAGACAACCATGTGGTAGAGGGGACCTATTCTACCCTGGTATCTTAACAGGGAGACCAACATGGGGTAGAGGGGACCTATTCTACCTTAGTATCCTCACAGGGAGACAAACATGGGGTAGAGGGGACCTATACTGCCCTGGTAACCTAACAGAGAAACAAACGTGGGGTAGAGGAACCTATTCTGCCCTGGTATCCCCACAGGGAGACAAACATTGGGTAGAGGGGACCTATTCTGCCCTGGTATCCTCACAGGGAGACAAACATGCGGTAGAGGGGACCTATTCTGCCCTGGTATCCCCACTGGGTGACAACCATGGGGTAGAGGGGACCTATTCTACCCTGGTATCCTAACAGAGCAACAAATATGGGGTAGAGGGGACCTATTCTGCCCTGGTAGACCCACTGGGAGACAAACATAGGGTAGAGGGGACCTATTCTACCCTGGTATCCCCACTGGGAGACAAACATGGGGTAGAGGGGACCTATTCTGCCCTGGTATCCCCACTGGGAGACAACCATGTGGTAGAGGGGACCTATTCTACCCTGGTATCTTAACAGGGAGACCAACATGGGGTAGAGGGGACCTATTCTACCTTAGTATCCTCACAGGGAGACAAACATGGGGTAGAGGGGACCTATTCTACCCTGGTATCCCAAATGGGAGACAAACATGGGGTAGAGGGGACCTATTCTACCCTGGTATCCTAAAAGAGAAACAAACATGGGGTAGATGGGACCTATTCTGTCCTTGTATCCTAACAGGGAGACCAACATGGGGCAGAGGGGACCTATTCTACCCTGGTATCCCCAGTGGGAGACAAACATGGGGTAGATGGGACCTATTCTGTCCTGGTATCCTAACAGAGAAACAAACATGGGGTAGAGGGGACCTAGTCTGCCCTGGTATCCCCACAGGGAGACAAACATGGGTAGAGGGGACCTATTCTGTCCTGGTTTCCTAACAGAGAAACAAACATGGGGTAGAGGGGACCTATTCTACCCTGGTATCCCCACAGGGAGACAAACATGGGGTAGAGGGGACCTATTCTGTCCTGGTTTCCTAACAGAGAAACAAACAGGTGGTAGAGGGGACCTAGTCTGCCTTGGTATCCCGACTGGGAGACAAACATGGGATGGAGGGGACCTAGTCTGCCCTGGTATCCCCACAGGGAGACACACATGGGGTAGAGGGGACCTCTTCTGTCCTGGTATCCTAACAGAGAAACAAACATGGGGTAGAGGGGACCTATTCTACCCTGGTATCCCCACAGGGAGACAAACATGGGGTAGAGGGGACCTAGTCTGCCCTGGTATCCCCACAGGGAGACAAACATGGGATGGAGGGGACCTAGTCAGCCCTGGTATCCCCACAGGGAGACAAACATGGGATGGAGGGGACCTATTCTGCCCTGGTATCCTAACAGGGAGACAAACATGTGTTAGAGGGGACCTAGTCTGCCCTGGTATCCCCACAGGGAGACAAACATGGGATGGAGGGGACCTATTCTGCCCTGGTATCCTAACAGAGAAACAAACATGGGGTAGAGGGGACCTATTCTACCCTGGTATCCCCACAGGGAGACAAACATGGGGTAGAGGGGACCTATTCTGCCCTGGTATCCCGACAGGGAGACACACATGGGTTAGAGGGGACCTATTCTACCCTGGTATCCTAACAGGGAGACCAACATGGGGTAGAGGGGACCTATTCTGCCCTGGTATCCCGACAGGGAGACACACATGGGGTAGAGGGGACCTAGTCTGCCCTGGTATCCCCACAGGGAGACAAACATGGGATGGAGGGGACCTATTCTGCCCTGGTATCCCAACAGGAAGACACACATGGGTTAGAGGGGACCTATTCTACCCTGGTATCCTAACAGGGAGACACACATGGGTTAGAGGGGACCTAGTCTGCCCTGGTATCCCCACAGGGAGACAAACATGGGATGGAGGGTACCTATTCTGCCCTGGTATCCTAACAGGGAGACCAACATGGGGTAGAGGGGACCTATTCTACCCTGGTATCCTAACAGAGAAACAAACATGGGGTAGAGGGGACCTCTTCTGCCCTGGTATCCCCACTGGGAGACAACCATGGGGTAGAGGGGACCTATTCTACCCTGATATCCTAACAGAGAAACAAACATGGGGTAGAGGGGACCTATTCTGCCCTGGTATTCCCACTGGGAGACACACATGGGGTAGAGGGGACCTATTCTGCCCTGGTATCCCCACAGGGAGACAAACATGGGGTAGGGGGGACCTATTCTGCCCTGGTATCCCCACAGGGAGACAAACATGGGGTAGAGGGGACCTATTCTGCCCTGGTATCCTAACAGAGAAACAAACATGGAGTAGAGGGGACCTATTCTGCCCTGGTATCCCCACAGGGAGACAAACATGGGGTAGAGGGGACCCATTCTGCCCTGGTAGCCCCACTGGGAGACAAACATAGGGTAGAGGGGACCTATTCTGCCCTGGTATCCTAACAGGGAGACAAACATGGGGTAGACACGTATAGGGTAGTGGTATACGCCCACGTTTCTCTCTCTGTGGGCACACCTGGGTAGAATATTTCCCCAGTACACAATGTTTAACTACGTGTGGAGATACCATGGTAGAATAGGTCCTTGTTGGTTTGCCCGTTGGGCTTTCAGTGGAAACTAGGTCCTCGATACCCCCTGTTCGTCTCCTTATTGGGACAGACTTTCTAAAGTTCCTGTTTGACAAAAGAGCAGACTGATTCCAGGTTCGCGTGGTTACTGTGTATAACCAGTTCATCTAGCATCTATGACATCAGATTCAGAGTGGATAGTACTCATGTTATCAACCACTAGCCAACGCTCGATTACTTACAGGCTGTAGTGACAGTTGAAATATTGCTGACTGCAGCGTTAACCTTTACTCGCTCTCGATCACCCGATATGTTTTTATTTCTAGTTTCAGGAACGATTTCACTTCCTTTACAAGAGGGGAGGATGGTTGTCTGGCCTACGCGGGATACGGCTATGCGGCATATTACACCATCAACGATGCTGACGTTGTGGGGGACAGCGTCGAAGACCTCGCATACAACATATATGATGAATGTAAGGACACTGACCCGGAACCGGAAGAAAAGCCTTCTGACCTTGACCCTGCGGAAGACAGAAAGGAAAGGGAGCGAGCATCCACGGCCGATAATCTCAAGAAGGACTACTATCTATCACCGACCAAGGATGTGGGTGACCTTGACCCTGCGGAAGACAGAAAGGAAAGGGAGCGAGCAACCACGGCCGATAATCTCAAGAAGGACTACTATCTGTCACCGACCAAAGATGTGGGTGACCTTGACCCACTTGAACCGCCAGAAGGAGATACAGATGAGGCAGATGTCACACCACGTGATCAGGAAGGCTTCGAAGATAACAGATTGTACCAGCACACGTTCGGTTCGGAGTTGTTGAGAACCTTAGACCATCTTACGCTGGTAGGCACAGGACTTGGCGCCACTGGAGTAGACACGAGTTATGCATCTCCTTATGGGCTGGGTGTGTCTAATGGGGTCGCTGACATCAGGGATGAAGATGGCTACTTATTACCCTGTAAACCTACAGGAACAGCAGCACAACGGCCAGATGGCACACCACGTTACCGGGAGGATGACAGAGATAGTCAGAACAGGCTCGGGTCGGATTCGTCGAAAAACACAGAACATCCTACGCCTGAAGGCACAGAAAAGAAAACGTATTATTCATCGCTTGATGCCAGGGATGAAGATGGCTACTTATTACCCTGTGAACCTACAGGAACGGCAGCACAACGGCCAGTTGGCACACCACGTTACCGGGAGGATGACAGAGATAGTCAGAACAGGCTCGGGTCGGATTCGTCGAAAACCACAGAACATCCTACGACTGAGGGCACAGAAAAGAAAACGTATTATTCATCGCTTGATGCCAGGGATGAAGATGGCTACTTATTACCCTGTAAACCTACAGGAACGGCAGCACAACAGCCAGATGGCAGACCACGTTACCGGGAGGAAGACAGAGATAGTCAGAACAGGCTCGGATCGGATTCGTCGAAAACCACAGAACATCCTACGCCTGAGGGCACAGGAAAGAAAACGTATTATTCATCGCTTGATGCCAGGAATGAACATGGCTATGGATCAATCAACCAATAAGCTGTGAAAAATAATAATTTGACAAAATGGTGAGACTACTTCTATACAAGCCTAAGAAAACCACGACCCGGATCTGCTTGATCCGTGCAGATGATGACAGCAACAGCACGGGGGGGGGGGGGGGAGGTTTGCCTCCCTTCTGAGACAACCATACCTCCGTTCATGATCTGGATACATTATGTGCTATATCACGTCTGTGAAAATTAATCACCCGACTCCGTTTTCTGACATATCTGTCACATCTGAAGACGATTTGATTTGAAGACAAGTGCTTCACAAACAATTCACCATCATGGACGACTATACAGCGCATGTGTTGAGACAACGTGGTGCACTGACGAATGTAAGTAGAGCATTAACTCCAAGTCCACCGCAGCTTGCTTGCTTGCTGTTTAACGCCACACTCAGCAATATTCCAGCTATATGACGGCGGCCTGTACATAGAGACCAGGCAATCAAGTGACTGACATTGTGAAGAACCATCCACAATTCCACGCAATCAACCGACGCAGCGAGCCTGACCTCCCGAACCATTTACGACAAGCATAGTCGCCTTTTACGGCAGGCATGGGTTGCTGAAGACCTATTCTACCCCGAGGGTGAATCTAAATGGATATAATTCGTAGTTCGTTTGGAGAGCTTTTAACAGCATTTCGGTTATTTCACGGCATTTCATCTTAATGTCGGAGGAAGCGATCCGGATGAGGCGAAGATGGATGTGATTTGTTTGTTTGTTTGTTTGTTTGTTTGTTTGTTTGTTTGTTTGTTGTTTAACGCCGCACTCAGCAATATTAAAGCTACATGGCGGCGAATTGTAAATATGTATTCCTCTGTAAATCGAGACCGTTTCATTAAATGCCTTCAATGCTTGTAACATTTACTCTGGGCTCGAGACTTATAATCTAATAATAGAAAATTCTGATATTAGATTTGAGACTTAAAGGAACATGGAATTTATGAGGTTAGGTGAGGTGAAATGGGGTTTAACGTCGCGTCCAAGATTATTGCACTTATATAGCGACGTGCATGTACGTGTGTGTATTTGTGTGGCTGCTTGTACTAGTCCGGACTGATGCCGATTTATAGTGCTAGCTCACTGAGATACAATGTCGCAGTTTAACATGAATACCCCACTCAGACATAGTATCCTGACTCCGAGCCGACCAGTCCCTGTTTCAGCCCCTTAATGCCGAGCGCCAGACAGGGTAACAACACGTACCATCTTTTAACGTCTTTTGGTATGACGCGGTCGGGGATCGAACCCCGGACCTTCCGCTCTCCGGGCGGACGCTCTACCACTAGACCACGGAGGCGGTCCTGGAATATATATAACGACCTGGGGGTTGAATCTGCAGGGGAGAATAACCGAGGTCTTGTTCCTGGGCCAGTTGATGCGGCACATTGACGAGCACACAAAGAGCATGTCTCCATGTTCACCGTATCACATCCCACTCCGTTGAATGGAAATAGATTCTTGCACTGCACGAGTGAGTGAGTGAGTGAGTCAGTGAGTCAGTGAGTCAGTGAGTCAGTGAGTGAGCTGGGTTTAACGCCGCTTCTAAGATTATTGCAGTGATATAACGCAGTGATAATACTGAGGGGGCACGGGTGGCCCAGTCCTCTAAGGCGCCGCGATTCGCTGTGAAGAGTTGCGTCCCTTGGGCATGCCAGAAACCTATGATTGTGGGTTTGAATCCCGGTTCGCCCCAATTATGTTTCTAGGTTTGTCAGCATCATACCCGTGCTCGTGGGTTTCACCGAAGTGGTAAACGTCTAAGACCTGCATCACTTCGGGCTTTCCTCCCACATTCAGCTGACAAGCCGCGATATAACTGGAATATTGTTAAAGCGGCGTTAAATCCAACTCACTCACTCACTCACTTCTCATTGCACGAGGAAACACCCCTGTCCAAAACACATAAAAAACGGATGTTTTCTCACAGCTGTTTAGTAGTGAGTGGATGAGTAGAACGCCGCTTCCAGTTCCATCACGGCGTGTGGTATGGTGCTGACATACCTAGAAACGTCATTAGGGCGAATCTGGGTTCAAACCCACGATCATAGGTTTCTGGTCTTGCCAGGGGACGCAACTCTGTACAGCCAATTCCGGCATCTTTGACGATTGTTCTGTAGTATGTTACCTTAAAAGTTAAAAGCACGTGCAAATATCATAGGGGCTTGGATCAAGACTTGCTAATTCTAAAGATGTACAAGAGATGTTTCCCTTCGATATTTCTTTGGAAACGCGGTAGCCATATATTTTTCCGGTGTCCATGACTACAACAATGGCGGCGACTGACCATGCTGGTGCACTTGAACCCGTAAGATGAGAAACTCTCAAAGCATCATTATCGATTGCAGAGATGTAAGTGAGTATAGTGTTACGCCGTTTTTCGCAATATTCCAGCAATATCACGGCGGGGACACCAGAAATGGGCTTCACATATTTCACCCACGTAGGCAATCGAACCCGGGCTTTCGGTGTGACGAGCGAACGCTTTGACCACTAGGTTACCCCACCGCCAGGAGAAATGGGACTGAGTCGACGTCTTATGTGACAAACAACACCTTTTAATATCTCATAGACAATGAACATAAAAATTTAATGTGCATATCAAGATGTAATTGAAAAAAAATGATACAAAATATGACTTAATCTCCTTAATCTAAATTTTTAACACGAAACGAGATCTTCACCACAGTCTTTATCTATGTAAGAAAAAATGTTTGTAAATAATCATCTAAAATCCTGAGTTAACTATTGTCAGTTATTTTGTAAAAGTGGCACACAAAAAGAGACATTGTGATCACAGTCATCAATAAATTGTATTTTTATTCATAGAAGCATAAGCATCTATCAAGCAATTGTATATTTCATTACTGATTATGAAACATGTTTTTTTAAACATTGTAAAATGACTGAAAATGTTAGTCATTTTACAAAATGACTGCAATATCAGGCAGAATATTTGACAAATTGACTGATTTTACACGTTGGTGAAATGAGGGTGAAGTGGGGTTTAACGTCGCGTCCAAGATTTGCATTTATATAGCGACGTGCATGCACTTGTGTGTGGCTGCTTGTACTAGTCCGGACAGATGTCGATATATAGTGCTAGCTCACTGAGATACTATGCCGCAGTTGAACATGAATACCCCACTCAGACACAGTATACTGACTCCGAGCCGACCAGTCCTTGTTTTAAACAAGCCCATTAAGGCCGAGCGCCAGACAGGGTAACAACAAGTACCATCTTTTAACGTCTTTGAAGGCTCTACCACTAGACCACGGAGGCGGTCCATTTTACACATTGACTATAAGTATAGAAACCATAATAGCGAAGGTTCTAGACAAGCTCCTTTCAACATGAGCACAGCTGCATGAATAAGATGATACTGTAAAAGCCCTATACTTATTTATACATTATGTCCAAGGTATCATACGGTGACTAACAAACAAATATGATGGTCTTCCACTGATCGGAGCATTTTGATTGGACGGCTATTTTTAGAATCGATGACATCATAGTTCCAGATCTAAATCTGTCCAATCGCCGTTGATATGTGTGTACGTATACACGTGTGTATATATGTGTGTGTATGTGTGGTGTCTTACAGACGTGAGACCTGCTTTTTTTGTGGGGTCTATCAAGACATGAGACCTGATATTTTGTGTGTGGTTTCTATCAAGACATGAGACCTGATATTTTGTGTGTGGCTTCTATCAAGACGTGAGACCTGCATCTTTGGCCATGCCGTAGAATATGGAGGTCTTGTCCTTGAGCAGGGTGTCCGGGCTGTCGAACTCCTTGATCAATCCTTGGTCCAACACAATGATCCTGTAACACAGACACAAGTCACGTGAGAGTTGTTTAATGCCACAGTCACCAGTATTCCGGAAGACTTCTCAAAATAAGTTAAAGAACACCTTATTCTTTCATAATTACTGTAGTTAATCTGTGATGGCATAAGAGGTTACTATAGTCATATGAGAGAATCGGTTGTCATTGCATAAAAGACTAACTACAGTAAAATGAAAGAATCGGATGCCATTGCATAAAAGACTAACTACAGTAAAATGAAAGAATCGGTTGTCATTGCATAAAATACTAACTAAAGTAAAATGAAAGAATTGGTTGTCATTGCATAAAAGACTAACTACAGTAAAATGAAAGAATCGGTGGTCATTGCATAAAATACTAACTACAGTAAAATGAAAGAATCGGTTGTCATTGCATAAAAGACTAACTACAGTAAAATGAAAGAATCGGTTGTCATTGCATAAAATACTAACTACAGTAAAATGAAAGAATCGGATGTCATTGCATAAAAGACTAACTGCAGTAAAATGAAAGAATCGGTTGTCATTGCATAAAAGACTAACTACAGTAAAATGAAAGAATCGGTTGTCATTGCATAAAAGACTAACTACAGTAAAATGAAAGAATCGGTTGTCATTGCATAAAAGACTAACTACAGTAAAATGAAAGAATCGGTTGTCATTGCATAAAAGACTAACTACAGTAAAATGAAAGGATCGGTTGTCATTGCATAAAATACTAACTACAGTAAAATGAAAGAATCGGTTGTCATTGCATAAAAGACTAACTACAGTAAAATGAAAGAATCGGTTGTCATTGCATAAAAGACTAACTACAGTAAAATGAAAGAATCGGTTGTCATTGCATAAAAGACTAACTACAGTAAAATGAAAGAATCGGTTGTCATTGCATAAAAGACTAACTACAGTAAAATGAAAGGATCGGTTGTCATTGCATAAAATACTAACTACAGTAAAATGAAAGAATCGGTTGTCATTGCATAAAAGACTAACTACAGTAAAATGAAAGAATCGGTTGTCATTGCATAAAATACTAACTACAGTAAAATGAAAGAATCGGTTGTCATTGCATAAAATACTAACTACAGTAAAATGAAAGAATCGGATGTCCTTTAACTTCTGTTGAGTAGCAGTACTAGTATATTATATGAGTGTCGCAGTCAACATACTTGACTTATTTCCCCAGAATACTATTTGTTTGATATCAATCTTAAAAGATTTAGAATAAGCTTAGCACAATTTAGATGCAGCTCTCATAGGCTTAGGATCGAAGTAGGCAGACAAAGAAACAGAGCCAGAGAATTGAGAATATGTGCGCTCTCCGGGCGGACGCTCTACCACTAGACCACGGAGGCGGTCATCAATCACTGGATTGATCATTGGATATGACGGCTGTCTGTAAATGGGGCGGTCGGGTAGCCTAGCGGTTAAAGCGTTCGCTCATCACGCCAAACACCCGGGCTCGATGCCCGACATGGGTACAAGGTGTGAAGCCCATTTCTGGTGTCCCCCGCCGTGATATTGCTGGAATATTGCTAAAGGCGGCGTAAAACCATACTCACTCACTCACTCACTCACTGTCTGTAGATAATAGAATCTGGACCAGACAATCCAGTGACTGACACTATGAACATCGTTCCACGCAATTGGGATACGATGACGTGCATCAACCAAGTCAGCGAGCCTGACCATCCGATCCCGTTAGTCGCCTCTTACTACAAGAATGGGTTGCTGAAGTCTTATTCTACCCCGGATCTTCACGGGTCCCTGCAAATGCTTAAAAAGATATCATTTGTAGCCATGTTTCACCAAACAAACAAGTCGACTGGAAGATTTTATGACAAATACTGCTTACGGTCCTTAAAAATGGGACATTCTTTTAGAGAAACAAATTGTATGTCTTTTGTCTTTAACAATACTCCCAGCCCCCTCCCAATCCTGCAAATCAAATGTTCGTTCTTTTATTGAATAGAAGGGCCTCACTTGTCATAGTCAAGGATTGTGTTGAGTCTGTGGGCAATGGTCAGCACAGTGCAGTCCTTGAACTCGGTGCGGATCGTCTGCTGAATCAAATCATCTGTCTCCATATCCACAGCTGCTGTGGCCTCGTCCAGAATCAGGATCTTCGTCTTCCGCAACAGCGTCCGCGCCAGGCAGACCAACTGTCTCTGTCCAACACTGCAAACAACAGCAAAGTTACTTAGCATCAAAACAAATAAAGTAGACAGCAATGTTACTTAGCACCAAAACAAATAAAGTAGACAGCAATGTTACTTAGCATCAAAACAAATAAAGTAGACAGCAATGTTACTTAGCATCAAAACAAATAAAGAAAACTAAAAGTAACATGAAGGACAGAGATGTTTGAACTTGTGATTCATACTGAAGCATTGAGATTTACACACAGTGGTGACCAACTGGAGCTACTTCCCTTAGATGTATTGAATGCCACCTCCACCATGACAACCAGTAGTTACAATCGTACAATCGACTCTGATTTCAGCAGAGATTTCTATTGAATATGGAAAGGTTGTTGTCGCTTTAATTTATAAGACATTTGGTTCCTTACTTATTCTATTTGTTACTTAATATTTCTCACTTACAGAAAACAAGTCAAATTTAAGTCAAATCACTCAGTGACAACAACTATTACCTGTTACCTAGGTCCCAAAGGATTTTTTTTTGAATGAGCCCTGACGACAAGAAGCCGAGTTCTGCAGAAGAATTCTAACCTGGGTCCCCATCAGACTGAACCGGACATCACTACCACATCTTACAACAAGCAGTCGAGTGTTGGGGAACTATTCTAACCTGGGTCACTGTGTGGGAGACATATTTACCTGAGATTCTGTCCACCCTCGCCACACTCATATTCCAGCTGTACGGGGAGTTCCTGCACAAACTTCTTGAGGTGAGCGTGCGCCAGTGCCTTCCAGATCTGAGCGTCACTGTACTTGTCGAACGGATCAAGGTTCATCCTCATCGTTCCAGAAAACAGAACTGGGTCCTGGAATGATAGTATTAGAGATGAACCAGCGAGCTACTTGCCAGTGCAGATTATCGCTCCTGGGAGAAGGAATGCCGGAAGCACCGACTCCAGTGGAAGGTTCCTGCAGATGTGGGTGGAAAGACAGAACTGATGCAGGTCTTACGTGTTTCGTATTTTGCCGAAACCAACGTATGGCGCTGACAGTCCTAGAAACAGTAAGGGAAACCGGGATTCGAACCCATGACCGTAGGTTTCTGGCACGCCTAAGGGATGCACCTCTGCACAGCAAATTGCGGCACCTTACAAGTGTATGGTGCCAATAAAACGATTTTAATTGGGTAGAATCATTGTTTCAAACCTGTCCCATTACGAGGCTAGTGCCTCCATCGACATATACTCTACATTCTGATGTAGATGTTTACACCAGTGTCCATATGCTCACCGACATCATATTCCTAAAACCAATTGTCATCAAATCCTGGCATTGCTACGGGAGGTAACTCTGCAGACATTGAGTACCTGAGGCAGGATGGTCAGCTTGGACCGGAGATCATGGAGACCAATATTTCCTGCTGTAGTTCCGTCAATGATGATGCTGCCACTTGCCGCCTCAATCAGACGGAACAACGCCACCGTCATGGACGACTTGCCAGCTCCAGTTCTTCCTACAATTCCAACCTGTGATAGAAAGTTCACACATTGTACTGAACTAGCTGAATTTTAAAAACAAAAATATACTAAGTTTGTTTTGTGTCTTTGGTATATAATGCCGCACTCCGCAATATTCAAGCTACATGATGACGCCCTGTAAATAACCAAATCTGGACCAGACTATCCAGTGATGGATATTATGAGTATCCATCTAGGATACGATGACATGCATCAACCAAGTCGCCGAGAAAGCTGACCACCCGATCCCGTTAGTCGCCTCTTATGACAAGGATTAGTTGCTGAAGACCAATCTTCACGGGGCAACACACACGTACTACAACCGGACATTTCAAAGTCTGTCACACAATCAGCTGCTGTAAACAAGCGATTCAAACATTTGGCAGATACACATCCCTTTGACTTCAGTCTTACCTTTTCAGATTCATTAATCTCGCAAGAGATGCCCTTGAGCACAAGGTCAAGGCCGGGTCGATATCGCGTGGCATAGTTCACAAAGTTGACCTTGCCATTCTGCGGCCAGGATGGAGGGGGGCGATGGTGGTCCAGAATCCACTCCGCCTGAGAAACAAGGAAATATAACTACATTAACTGACATTAACTTTATCTTGTACTGTTACGTTGTTGTTTTTTATGGGTATCTACTAGTTTTAAATAAAATCTGTGATAAATCTAGTTATTTTACTGTCCTTCGACGACAGTTTTTTTATATACTATATACTATATACTATCTACATATATCTAATTTGAATATTGTACTTTTTCTCGTCATATTCTTCTCTTTCTTCCCTGGGGAAATATCAAGAGAAATATCTGGGAAATATCAAGAGAAACATCCGCCCACCTCTGTCGGGGTCTCCGAGTACTCCTTGAGGCGTTCCACGGACACGACGTTGGTCTCCACTTCAGAGGTCATGCGCACCATCCAGTTGAGAGAAGCTGTCACCTGTCGAGCACACAAAAGGTCAACGTCCTCGTGCAACCCAGTACCACATTTCAGATGCATCAAACAAAAAACAGCTGAACATTTAATTCTTTATAAACGAAAATTTCAAGGCATCTGTGAACATAAAATGTTGATGCATGTGATTCACTTGTTTATGCACATAAATGCCTGAAACTGTTTATTTTAGTAACGAAAATATAAAAAAAAATATGTGTACACCCACTCATTTTTTAAAAAGCTCTTCCATACAACTTTTTTATAACATGTAGCCTCCATTCTGTAGGGGGCACGGGTGGCCCAGTCGTCTAAGGCGCCGCGATTCGCTGTGCAGAGTTGCGTCCCTTAGGGACGCCAGAAACCAATGATTGTGGGTTCGAATCCCGGTTCGCCCCGATTATGTTTCTAGGTTTGTCAGCACCATACCCGTGCTCGTGGGTTTCACCAAAGTATTAAACGTTTGAGACCTGCATCACTTCGGGCTTTCCTCCCACATTAAGCTGACACGCCGTGATATGATTGGAATACTGTTAAAAGCGGCGTTAAACACAACTCAACAACTCCAATCTGTACAGAAGCTGTACCTGTAGGGCATAGGAGACAGACAGCCCGACAAGACCTCCCTCAATGTCCTCCGTGATCACCGCAAACATGGCCGCCGCCAGCACAATAATGTTGCCGAGGAACTCCAGTCTAAATCCCAGCCACCTGGACACAGTCAGGAAGATACGTGTGTCACTAGCACAATCAACCCCTTCGACACATTTCTACTTTTATTTCCTGTTGTGTGAACAGATGTGAAAATGTAGGACAATCAACCCCTCAGACACAATTCTACGTTAATTTCCTGTTGTGTGAACAGATGTTAAAATGTAGCACAATCAACCCCTCAGACACATTTCTACTTTAATTTCCTGTTGTGTGAACAGATGTGAAAATGTAGCACAATCAACCCCTCAGACACAATTCTACGTTAATTTCCTGTTGTGTGAACAGATGTTAAAATGTAGCACAATCAACCCCTCAGACACATTTCTACCTTAATTTCCTGTTGTGTGAACAGATGTGAAAATGTAGCACAATCAACCCCTCAGACACATTTCTACTTTAATTTCCTGTTGTGTGAACAGATGTGAAAATGTAGCACAATCAACCCCTCAGACACATTTCTACTTTAATTTCCTGTTGTGTGAACAGATGTGAAAATGTCACTTGAGATTCAACCCAAGGTTCATTGATCGCCAGTGGTAAGGGAGACAACATATAAACTAGTCATTCACAACCAAAATCAAAGCCACAGTCACATATCTTCATAAACGTCCACTTTTATTTCCAGAAGGGGCAAGAGATTTGAACATATCACTTGAGATGCATCCCATGGCTAAATGACATCAGTTGTAAGGGGAACAACATTTAGAAATAAACCCGCATCACTCTACACCACATAGCAGTGGGTGATTAAGGGATGTGGGGGAGCCTTGTGGTTAAAGTGTTCCTCGTCGTGCCGAAGTCGTATGCAGCTTCAGGAGAACACATATCCACGGTACATCATGAAAGGGCAACTCACACTGAATAAATAAGTCGGGATATGATGTTAAGTCAGAATAAATGAAGTCGGGATATGCTGTTAAGTCAGAATAAATAAAGTCGGGATATGATGTTAATCAGAATAAATAAATTCGGGATATTTTGTAAGGTCAGAATAAATAAAGTCGGGATATGCTGTTAAGACAGAATAAATAAAGTCGGGATATGATGTTAAGTCAGAATAAATAAATTCGGGATATGATGTTAAGTCAGAATAAATAAAGTCGGGATATGATGTTAAGTCAGAATAACTAAAGTCGGGATATGATGTTAAGTCAGAATAAATGAAGCCGGGATATGATGTTAAAGTCAGAGAAAGACATTGTATCTGTCCATTCCTGATATTGACCTGTACATACATTCATGTATGTTCATGTACGGATGTGTCATTTTATTACTGCAAGCAAGTGGCACAGTTTTCGAATTAATCTCACAATTTACAGTGAGCATCTATCGTTGCAGCTGTTCAATAATCATTTATAGTATAAATCTATCACTGAAGCTGTCCAACAACCATGATTTATAGTATAAATCTATCATTGAAGCTGTTCAATAACCACGATTTACAGTCCACATCTATAATTGAAGCTGTTCAACAACCATGGTTTGCAGTATATATCTATCATTGAAGCTGTTCAATAACCACGATTTACAGTCCACATCTATCATTGAAGCTGTTCAATAACCACGATTTACAGTCCACATCTATCATTGAAGCTGTTCAATAACCATGGTTTGCACCATATCCTACCTGTTGGATGATTTGATCAAGATTTACAGTATCAATCAGTCATTGAAGCTGCACCATATCCTACCCGTTGGATGATTTGATCAAGATTTACAGTATCAATCAGTCATTGAAGCTGCACCATATCCTACCCGTTGGATGATTTGATCAAGATTTACAGTATCAATCAGTCAGTGAAGCTGCACCATATCCTACCCGTTGAATGATTTGATCAATATTTACAGTATCAAGATTTACAGTATCAATCAGTCAGTGAAGCTGCACTATATCCTACCTGTTGGATGATTTGATCAAGATTTACAGTATCAATCAGTCAGTGAAGCTGCACCATATCCTACCCGTTGAATGATTTGATCAAGATTTACAGTATCAAGATTTACAGTATCAATCAGTCAGTGAAGCTGCACTATATCCTACCTGTTGGATGATTTGATCAAGATTTATAGTATCAATCAGTCATTGAAGCTGCACCATATCCTACCCGTTGAATGATTTGATCAAGATTTACAGTATCAAGATTTACAGTATCAATCAGTCATTGAAGCTGTTAAATAATTTGATCAAGATTTACAGTATCAATCAGTCAGTGAAGCTGCACCATATCCTACCCGTTGAATGATTTGATCAAGATTTACAGTATCAAGATTTATAGTATCAATCAGTCAGTGAAGCTGCACTATATCCTACCTGTTGGATGATTTGATCAAGATTTACAGTATCAATCAGTCAATGAAGCTGCACCATATCCTACCCATTGAATGATTTGATCAAGATTTACAGTATCAAGATTTACAGTATCAATCAGTCAGTGAAGCTGCACTATATCCTACCTGTTGGATGATTTGATCAAGATTTATAGTATCAATCAGTCAGTGAAGCTGCACCATATCCTACCTGTTGGATGATTTGATCAAGATTTACAGTATCAAGATTTACAGTATCAATCAGTCATTGAAGCTGCACCATATCCTACCTGTTGGATGCAATTCCAGCAAAGTAGAAGACCAGATTCTTATCAACTCTTTCCTGAGACTCGGTGTAGAATCTGTCCGTGGCTCCGTACGCCCGGATGGAGGATGCCCCTGTGATAGTCTCGCTGAAGTGGGTGTAGATTGGTGATCGGGTGGTGGACTCGATACGCTTCAGCTGACGTGAGGTCGGGATGTAAAATCTCTGATGGTGAAAAGACATGTGTAAATACACGAGTGAAGATGGGACGTTACAATATCCTTTTTGTCAGGTACCCAACAACCTATGCTGGTCGTATATACGAGTGAGTGAGTGAGTATGGTTTCACGCCGCTTTTAGCAATATTCCAGCAATATCTCGGCCGGGGACACCAGAAATGGGCTTCACACATTGTACCCATGCCGGGAATCGAACCCGGGTCTTCGACGTGATGAGCAAACGCTTTAACCACTAGGCTACCCGACCGCCCCTCGTATATACGAAGCGACCGAATAGATTGGGTAGTGACACTCTGTGACTTGGTTGATAGCATGTCCTAGTACCCAGACACCGTGGATCCTGACACCATCATAATATCGGTCACTGGATTGTCTGGTCGAGATTCGATTATTTACAGATCACAGTCACATAGCTGGAATATTGCTAAGTGCGGCATTAAACAATAATTATTGTTTTTAAAAACAACCAAAAAACATTTATTAGGGGACTCAATTCCTTATAACAATTACCATATAGTGTACCATTTAATTCCTATTATGAAAACGACCCGTGAAGATCCGGGGTAGAATAGGCCTTCAGCAACTCATGATTGTCGTAAATGGCGACAATGCTTGTCGTAAGAGGCGACTGAAGGGATCGGGTGGTCAGGCTCGCTGACTTGGTTAATGCATGTCATCGATGCCAATTGCGTGGCTCGATGTTCATGATATTAATCACTGGATTGTCTGGTCCAGTCTCGATTATTTACAGACCACCGTCATATAGCTGGCGTTAAACAACAAAGAAAGAAAGAAAGTCGAAGGGTTGTAAAGACAAACATCCACTTCGTCAGTCAGCAATCAAGCCTCTCTGATGTTACTGGATATTGCACATATATTCTTCTAACAAGTTGGGGATCAGGAAATATAAATGTTTATGCCATCTATAAGAACACAGAGAAGTTATAACGCGTTAAACCAAAAACAAACCAACAAACCAACCAACCAACCAACCAATCATTATTAAAACAGAACCAGTTTATGGCCATCTCATGTTTGGGAAAACACATGAGAATTTTACCTTTGATTTCAATTACATTCCCAGCATATAAACCATATTTGGTATTCCTAGGATGAATTTTATGTGATATTAAATGCCAGTAATATGGAACACTAATGCCAATTTTATAGTGCTAGCCCACTGAGATACGATGCCGCAGTTAAAAACATGGATACCCCACTCAGACACATAACACTGACCCCGAGCCGACCAGTGCTTGGTTTAAGTCTTTGAATAGCTTTTAGAAGTGATACACATGAGAGATAGAGAGAATTTATGCACGTCAACTTCTTTATTATGAGGAATATGACGTTTCGGAGTATATACTTCCTCATTCATCAGCATCTTCCGGAGGCAAGTGAGTTAACTGACTATAAAAGTCCAGTTTCCAAACGTTGAAAAAAGCGGACTTTTAAAGTCAGTTAACTCCCTTGCCTCGGGAAGATGATTCATCAGGTGAATGAAGGAGTAAGCATATACTCCGAAACGTTGTGCTCCTTCTCATACAGAAGCTGCCATCCATAAATTCTTAGTCTTAATCCCCTTAATGCTGAGCATCAGCTGTGACAACAAGTGCAATTTGAATGTGTTTTGATAAGACTCGGGCGGGATCGAACCACCAACTTTTCACCCTCCTGACAAAGGCTGTCCTCAAGTGAGGCACCTACTACACCTGTAGTGGTATGACTCGGCCGTGATCGAACCACCCCCCTTTCACCCTCCTGACAAAGGCCGTCCTCAAGTGAGGCACCTACTACACCTGTGTAAGTTGCCTACCTGCACCAGCCAATAGAGGAAGCCGAGCGGGATGATGACAACAAGGAAGATGGGGGTGCTGTAGCTGATGACGATGATGGTGCTGATGACGTTGAAGACCATGTTGATCCACTGGCGAAGCAGTGAAGGGAGGTTGTTGTCTACAGTCTCAACATCTCGGGAGAAGCGGTTTACGATTCGGCCAATGGGCGTTGTGTCAAAGAAGGACATAGGAGAGCGGAGGATGTTGGAGAGCATCTTGGCGTGGAGGTTTCCGGCGGCTCGCACCATCCTCGTTGATGCCAGCAGCGAGTAGCAGAGAACACCAATCGCTGGAACACACCAACCAATTCATACTCAAATATGGCATTAAAACCTTGCCTTCTAGTTCAGTTATATCAGAATTAGCAATTGTGTGACAGTTGAGAGCATGCTTTCAAATACAAATTAATCATACACATAATATGCATCTTTTCTGGACTCTACACTCCCAGTCTTCCATACCCTTCGAGGCACATTCTGTAGACTACTTCTGTAGAAGTACATCCTGAAGACTCTACACCCACCTTGTGCCACTCCCAGTCCCCTGTACACTCTGAGGTACATCCTGTAGACTCTACACTCACCTTGTGCCACTCCCAGCCCTCCGTACACGCCAAGGTACAGGGCGTTGCGGTTCTGGTAGTCGGGTGTGTTTGCCAGTGTCTGGTTCTTCAGGAGCGGATCATCAGTCCATTGACTCAGCCACACACTGGAGTATGCGTTAGCAAACTGGTAGATACCGTAGATGACGAAGATCATGAACGTTGTGAAGTAGCCAATAGCTCGAGCATAGTCTATGTAGACCGATGCCTTCACCTGCAAGAGATCAGGATACTTAGAGCATGAATACCATGATTGTTGTGAAGACACGGACAGCTCGAGCATAGTCGATGTAGACCGAGGCCTTCACCTTTAAGAGATCAGGATACTTAGAGCATGAAGACCATGGTTGTTGAAAAGATGACGACAGCTCGAGCATAGTCTACATAGACCGAGGCCTTCACCTGTAAGAGATCAGGGTACTTAGAGGACGAAGACCATGGTTATTGTGAAGACACGGACAGCTCGAGCATAGTCTATGTAGACCGAGGCCTTCACCTGCAAGAGATCAGGATACTTAGAGGACGAAGATCATGGTTATTGTGAAGACACGGACAGCTCGAGCATAGTCGACGTAGACCGAGGCCTTCACCTGCAAGAGATCAGGATACTTAGAGGACGAAGACCATGGTTATTGTGAAGACGCGGACAGCTCGAGGATAGTCTACGTAGACCGAGACCTTCACCTGCAAGAGATCAGGATACTTAGAGGACGAAGATCATGATTATTGTGAAGACACCGATTGTTGAGAAGATGAAGACAGCTTGAGCATAGTCGATGTAGACCGAGGCCTTCACCTGTAAAAGATCAGGATACTTAGAGGACGAAGACCATGGTTATTGTGAAGACACGGACAGCTCGAGGATAGTCTACGTAGACCGAGACCTTCACCTGCAAGAGATCAGGACACTTACAGGACGAAGATCATGGTTATTCTGAAGACAACGACAGCTCGAGCATAGTCGACGCAGACCGAGGCCTTCACCTGTAAAAGATCAGGATACTTAGAGGACGAAGACCATGGGTATTGGGAAGACACGGACAGCTCGAGCATAGTCTACGTAGACCGAGGCCTTCACCTGCAAGAGATCAGGATACTTAGAGGACGAAGATCATGGTTATTGTGAAGACACCGAGAGCTCGAGCATAGTCTACGTAGACCGAGGCCTTCATCTGCAAGAGATCAGGATACTTAGAGGATGAAGACCATGATTATTGTGAAGACAACGACAGCTTGAGCATAGTCGATGTAGACCGAGGCCTTCACCTGTAAAAGATCAGGACACTTAGAGGGCGAAGACCATGGTTATTGTGAAGACAACGACAGCTCGAGCATAGTCGACGTAGACCGAGGCCTTCACCTGCAAGAGATCAGGATACTTAGAGGATGAAGACCATGGTTATTGTGAAGACAACGACAGCCCGAGCATAGTCTACGTAGACCGAGGCCTTCACCTGCAAGAGATCAGGATACTTAGAGGACGAAGATCATGGTTATTGTGAAGACAACGACAGCTCGAGCATAGTCGACGTAGACCGAGGCCTTCACCTGCAAGAGATCAGGATACTTAGAGGACGAAGATCATGGTTATTGTGAAGACAACGACAGCCCGAGCAAAGTCTACGTAGACCGAGGCCTTCACCTGCAAGAGATCAGGATACTTAGAGGACGAAGATCATGGTTATTGTGAAGACAACGACAGCTCGAGCATAGTCGACGTAGACCGAGGCCTTCACCTGCAAGAGATCAGGATACTTAGAGGACGAAGACCATGGTTATTGTGAAGACAACGACAGCCCGAGCATAGTCTACGTAGACCGAGGCCTTCACCTGCAAGAGATCAGGATACTTAGAGGACGAAGACCATGGTTATTGTGAAGACAACGACAGCCCGAGCATAGTCTACGTAGACCGAGGCCTTCACCTGCAAGAGATCAGGATACTTAGAGGACGAAGACCATGGTAATTGTGAAGACAACGACAGCTCGAGCATAGTCTACGTAGACCGAGGCCTTCACCTGCAAGAGATCAGGATACTTAGAGGACGAAGATCATGGTTATTGTGAGGCAACGACAGCTCGAGCATAGTCGACGTAGACCGAGGCCTTCACCTGCAAGAGATCAGGATACTTAGAGGACGAAGACCATGGTTATTGTGAAGACATGGACAGCTCGAGCATAGTCTACGTAGACCGAGACCTTCACCTGCAAGAGATCAGGACACTAAGAGGACGAAGATCATGATTATTGTGAAGACACCGATTGTTGAGAAGATGACAACAGCTTGAGCATAGTCGATGTAGACCGAGGCCTTCACCTGTAAAAGATCAGGATACTTAGATGACGAAGACCACGATTGTTGTGAAGACACCGACAGCTCGAGCATAGTCTACGTAGACCGAGGCCTTCACCTGTAAAGGATCAGGATACTTAGAGGATGAAGACCATGATTGTTGTGACGACAACGACAGCTCGAGCATAGTCTACGTAGATCGAGGCCTTCACCTGCAAGAGATCAGGATACTTAGAGGACGAAGACCACGATTGTTGTGAAGACACGGACAGCTCGAGCATAGTCTACGTAGACCGAGGCCTTCACCTGTAAAAGATCAGGACACTTAGAGGACGAAGATCATGGTTATTGTGAAGACAACGACAGCTCGAGCATAGTCTACGTAGACCGAGGCCTTCACCTGTCAAATATCAGGATACTTAGAGGACGAAGACCACGATTGTTGTGAAGACACCGACAGCTCGAGCATAGTCTACGTAGATCGAGGCCTTCACCTGCAAGAGATCAGGATACTTAGAGGACGAAGACCACGATTGTTGTGAAGACACGGACAGCTCGAGCATAGTCTACGTAGACCGAGGCCTTCACCTGTAAAAGATCAGGACACTTAGAGGACGAAGATCATGGTTATTGTGAAGACAACGACAGCTCGAGCATAGTCGACGTAGACCGAGGCCTTCACCTGCAAGAGATCAGGATACTAAGAGGACGAAGATCATGGTTATTGTGAAGACAACGACAGCTCGAGCATAGTCTACATAGACCGAGGCCTTCACCTGCAAGAGATCAGGATACTTAGAGGATGAAGACCATGATTGTTGTGACGACAACGACAGCTCGAGCATAGTCTACGTAGATCGAGGCCTTCACCTGCAAGAGATCAGGATACTTAGAGGACGAAGACCACGATTGTTGTGAAGACACGGACAGCTCGAGCATAGTCGATGTAGACCGAGGCCTTCACCTGCAAGAGATCAGGATACTTAGAGGACGAAGATCATGGTTATTGTGAAGACAACGACAGCTCGAGCATAGTCTACATAGACCGAGGCCTTCACCTGCAAGAGATCAGGATACTTAGAGGATGAAGACCATGATTGTTGTGACGACAACGACAGCTCGAGCATAGTCTACGTAGATCGAGGCCTTCACCTGCAAGAGATCAGGATACTTAGAGGACGAAGACCACGATTGTTGTGAAGACACGGACAGCTCGAGCATAGTCTACATAGACCGAGGCCTTCACCTGTAAAAGATCAGGACACTTAGAGGACGAAGATCATGGTTATTGTGAAGACAACGACAGCTCGAGCATAGTCTACGTAGACCGAGGCCTTCACCTGTAAAAGATCAGGATACTTAGAGGACGAAGATCATGGTTATTGTGAAGACAGCGACAGCTCGAGCATAGTCGATGTAGACCGAGGCCTTCACCTGTAAAAGATCAGGATACTTAGAGGACGAAGATCATGGTAATTGTGAAGACAACGACAGCCCGAGCATAGTCTACGTAGACCGAGGCCTTCACCTGTAAAAGATCAGGATACTTCGAGGACGAAGACCATGGTTATTGTGAAGACAACGACAGCTCGAGCATAGTCTACGTAGACCGAGACCTTCACCTGCAAGAGATCAGGGTACTTAGAGGACGAAGATCATGGTTATTGTGAAGACACGGACAGCTCGAGCATAGTCTACGTAGACCGAGACCTTCACCTGCAAGAGATCAGGATACTTAGAGAACGAGGACCATGGTTATTGTGAAGACACGGACAGCTCGAGCATAGTCGACGTAGACCGAGGCCTTCACCTGCAAGAGATCAGGATACTTAGAGGACGAAGATCATGGTTATTGTGAAGACACGGACAGCTCGAGCATAGTCTACGTAGACCGAGACCTTCACCTGCAAGAGATCAGGATACTTAGAGGACGAAGATCATAGTTATTGTGAAGACACGGACAGCTCGAGCATAGTCTACGTAGACCGAGGCCTTCACCTGCAAGAGATCAGGTTACTTAGAGGACGAAGATCATGATTATTGTGAAGACGCCGATTGTTTAGAAGATGACGACAGCTTGAGCATAGTCGATGTAGACCGAGGCCTTCACCTGTAAAAGATCAGGATACTTAGAGGACGAAGACCACGATTGTTGAGAAGACACCGACAGCTCGAACATAGTCTACGTAGACCGAGGCCTTCACCTGCAAGAGATCAGGTTACTTAGAGGACGAAGATCATGATTATTGTGAAGACGCCGATTGTTTAGAAGATGACGACAGCTTGAGCATAGTCGATGTAGACCGAGGCCTTCACCTGTAAAAGATCAGGATACTTAGAGGACGAAGACCACGATTGTTGAGAAGACACCGACAGCTCGAGCATAGTCTACGTAGACCGAGGCCTTCACCTGTAAAGGATCAGGATACTAAGAGGACGAAGACCAAGATTGTTATGAGGACAACGACAGTTCGAGCATAGTCTACGTAGACCGAGGCCTTCACCTGTAAAGGATCAGGACACTTAGAGGATGAAGACCAAGATTGTTGTGAAGACAACGACAGCTCGAGCTTAGTCTATGTAGACCGAGACCTTCACCTGCAAGAGATCAGGATACTTAGAGGACGAAGACCACGATTGTTGTGAAGACACGGACAGCTCGAGCATAGTCTACGTAGACCGAGGCTTTCACCTGTAAAGGATCAGGACACTTAGAGGACGAAGATCATGGTTATTGTGAAGACACCGATTGTTGAGAAGATGACGACAGCTTGAGCATAGTCGATGTAGACCGAGGCCTTCACCTGTAAAAGATCAGGATACTTAGAGGACGAAGACCACGATTGTTGTGAAGACACCGACAGCTCGAGCATAGTCTACGTAGACCGAGGCTTTCACCTGCAAGAGATCAGGATACTTAGAGGACGAAGACCACGATTGTTGTGAAGACACCGACAGCTCGAGCATAGCCTACGTAGACCGAGGCTTTCACCTGCAAGAGATCAGGATACTTAGAGGACGAAGATCATGGTTATTGTGAAGAAAACGACAGCTCGAGCATAGTCTACGTAGACCGAGGCCTTCACCTGTAAAAGATTTGTTGTGTAACACCATACTCGCCGGAAACCTAAGATTGTGGGTTCAAATCCCAGTTCGCGTCAATTATTTTTCTAGGTTTGTCAGCACCATACTCGCTCTCGTGGGACCTGAGACCTGCATCACTTCGGGCTTTCCTCCCACATTAGGCTGACACGCCGTGATATAACTGGAATACTGTTAAAAGCGGCGTTAAACCCAACTCACTCACTCACTCCTGTAACGCCATACTCACGAGTCAGCCATATTCCAGCCATATCACCACAGCCTGTACATAACTGGACCAGACAAACCAGTAAAGACGAACTCTTTAATAAAGCAGAATGAAAATTGCAAACAAGTCTGACCTTGCCAGTTTCAGATTTTTCTTCCTCAATCAGTTTGTCTTTATTCTTTTCCTCCTTCTTCTCCAGTGCCCCTGGCTTCTCTGTGTCCTTCGACATGGACAATGTCCTGCTGAACCTGCGACTCATCCTTCTGCAAAGAATAATATAGTGTCTATATATTTTGTTGTATCTGTATTTTTAAAGCATAAAAAAGTGAATTTATAAAAAAAAAAATGTAAATTTTCTTTCAAAATCTTCATAATCATGCCACTTCCCTATTCTATTACATGTTCTTTTTTACAAATACAGTAAAGTACGGTTATAACGAACTCAAGGGGGCAGCACTATAAAATCGGCATTAGTCCAGACAAGCAGCCACACACAATTCAAAAACACAAGGGGATACTCGGAAATAACAATAAAATTCTGAAGATATTTATATTATTGGTTTCTAGTAATAGTTGTATGATAATAATGAATGAATTGGGATAACATTGCATCCGGTGTGAAGTATGGAAAGTAGACTTCGTCAACGATTTTGAAGGGCGACAGAAGTATGATGGTATAATTTCAAAGAGTTGGCATACGCAGTGGGGAATACCGCCATGATTTGTCCAACATTCATTCACTCGACCATGCATCCTGCGTGTGAGTATACGCCCACCTCGGAGATTGTGCTGCCCTCTGTTCGTCAGACGTGACGGTTTCAGATGTGATGGAGTCCACTCTCTGTCGGATCTTCGACTTCATGGCTAGGACTGTAAGCAAACATATTTATCATAGTATTCAGCAACCAACAACCAATACCAACAACCAACAACTAGCAACCAACAACCAATACCAACAACCAACAACTAGCAACCAACAACCAATACCAACAAGCAACAACCAACAACCAACAACCAACATCCAGCAACCAACAATCAACATCCAGCAACCAGCAACCAGCAACCAACAACCAACAACCAACATCCAACAACCAACAACCAACATCCAGCACCCAACAATCAACAACCAGCAACCAACAACCAGCAACCAACATCCAGCAACGAACAACAAGCAAGCAACAACCAGCAGCCAACATCCAACATCCAGCAACCAACAATCAACAACCAGCAAGCAACAACCAGCAACCAAATCAGTAACTTACTCTC